GGGGTGTCTTTTTTTTTTTGTCTTTTGAACCACATGTCTTCCCGACGGCTTCCCTATACTTTATACTGTTCCTCGAAAATGGCTAATTTTGGAATATTTTTATGAGATACAGTTATGCGTTATTTTAGTGCATGTGGTGTAAATGCTGTGAAAGCTATTTACCTCTATTGCAGTCCCAGTGGTTTCTGTTGCCTAGATACTTAGAAGCAGGCGTTATTTGGCTTTGAATTCCTCGTAGAAATGTACGAAGGGTCCACATTTAAAAGATAAGTTTGAACAAAAGTTTTCTCCTTTTAGTTTTTTGGAGGGGTTTTTTTTTTGTGTTGGGGGGGGTGGAATAGTTTTAAGGTGTATTCTTGTACTTGGTATGGTTTTTTTTGCTTACGTCGCGCTTTGTTTGAGCAGAAAGCAAATCTGGAGTAAATGTCATTGATGAAAGTTGCATATTTAACCAGAACTCTGTGCCATGTTTTGTGATAAGGTTTGCTTGTTATTTGTTTCCCCCTTTGTGTAAATGTATGTTACCTTGTTATTTATGTATGTGTTTGTGCTTGAGAGGGGATGGGGAATGTAGTCCCTTTTTTTTCTTTTTCTTTTTTTTTTGGGGAGGGGTGGTTTATATTAGGTTATAATGGGGGGGAGCGGTTCTTTATTTCAAGAGAGGGGGGGGGAAGGATGTTGATGGTGTACTTTGTTCTTTGTCCTCAATCATGAGCGTTGCAGCTGTTTACTTTTCCATGTATTTCGTAATTTACCAGAATACGATTTTATTCTACATTTTCAAGGACTGTTTTGCTTAGTGTATTTGTTTTTCTATTAGAGTGTACAGAGAATGTACTGTCCAAGTGTACGATGGTATATACAATATGATGTAAATGAACGTAATGTGATATTTGCTTTGAACAGTCCTGCGAGTCTGAGAGCTAATGTTTTGAGACCAGTTCCTTTGTAAATATCAATTAAAAGCATTCTGTTCTAACCTGATGGATTCTGTTATGTTCTTTGAGTTTTGTTTTATGTATGTGGGCGTGAGAGAGAGAGCGAGAATGCAATTAATTGTTTTACACCATCATCGACACAATTTAGATAATTTAGGAGGCGGGCTTCGACCCTGCCTGTCAAGGCCAACCTGGGCAGAAATGGACACAACATCCTAAAAGAGAGAACGGGATAACTTGGTAAAAATTCTCTGATTTCCCGAAATGGAGTTCTGGTCTCCTGTGTACTATGGCGAAGGGCTTAACCACTGCACCACCACCTGTAGAGCGGGAGGGTGAGAAGGAGAGGGTGAAAGGGAGAAGGAGAGAGAGAGAGAGAGAGAATTGAATGGGGAGTTTAATTTTAACAGACTGAAGGGAGTAGACTGCGTTCACCATACACGCCATGTAACTATGAGGTAAATAAATAGCACTTGCTAGGCTGGTCTCGTTTTTCATGTTGTCATTGTCGTCGTCGTTTTGCTGTTGCTGTTTCTCTATTTTGAAAAGCAAAAAGAGTAGGTGTGTCGACTGTACAAATAATTAAGTTCTGTTCCCTTCTGTAAAAACAAAGTTCAGGGACTTGCTTGCTTACACAGCTTTAGGTGATGACAAAAATGTGCACACAGTGATGACAGGACGAGTACAGTACAGTCTCTGCAGGTTACCCCCAACCAATGAACACTTGAGAACATTATTAGCTCACTGCGGACGTACATTCTGGTCATTTCGCCATCTCAGAATTACACATTTCCATCTCCTCCGTCCTTAGTTTTCAGAAATTTGACTTTAAAATGTTTGAGTTTCTCAACGTTTCAAGCTTTTTCATATGCAGTTCTTTGAATATTTTGGTAACGACGCAGAATAACTTTACGATTTTGATAGAGCAGATAGAGCATTTGGTTTCTGACCTCATGGTCGTAGTGACTCAGAACGGCCAAAAATGCCAGATAGAACTCTGTAATTCTGAGGTATTATTTTGGCATGGCATAAATACTCGCTGTCTTAGAGCACTGAGTAAGAGAAAAAAAAATGTTCATACAGATTTAATTAAGTTAAAATTGTTGTGTTGGTAAGTGTTTTGCGGCGCTCGCAACTCTGTCGGCTCATAATAATTTGAGCACGATGACACATTTAAAAAAATCTTTAGTTTGGTAAGAATTAATTGATCGTTTTTAAGGACAATCGGGCTAACCCAGATTTCGGAGGTTTCTAGAAATCTTGACTCACACCAAAAGTGGGCACTGCCCTACCTTTAGGAGAAGTTTGGTTTCATTGGTGTATAGATTTGTCTTGTTGTAGAAAACACACTCCTAGTCTTTTAAATAAAATTGAATAAGGGGCAAAAACTTTACCTTCGATTTTCTCAAAGCAGCATTTTTTGGGAAAGCTCCTTTGTGCTTAAAAACGAATACCAGTTATTTCGTCACACCACAAACCCACAAGGTTGAATGGGGGCGGTCATTTTGTAGCACATTTGCGAACATCAAACGCGCATTGTCATGGCAATCGCTCACGATTTTGGGGGGAGGGTTTGGGCTGTGTGTGGAAGGATGGGAGGGGAGGGGGGGAGGCTGTGCGAGTCGTCGTGCCTACCTGATCAGCTGCACCGTTCATTAATATGTAGGCCTATTGACAATATTGAAATCTATCGAGTCAAATCAACGAATTTTTTCTTAAGTATTGTTGATGAAAGGTGTAGTTGGCAAGATCATATTAGTTCTGTTAAAAATAAATTTGCTAATAGAAATGTACGGTAATGCAATTTTGCTAAAGAGCTAGACACTAGACCCTTACTTTCAAACAAAGCCTTACTAACTCTTTACCACTCATTGTTTTTGCCTTATTTTAAAAACTATTGTTTAGCCATGGATCAGTTTAGTTTAGATGAAGACTTAATTTACGTTAATAATTTATATAACGTTTATATAACTTTTAAAAAAAAGCTTTAGGCTGATCCTCCAAAACTGTACTAGCATAACAATTTGGGAGATATATAAGCAAAGTCATTTCGTCATGACCGGTTACCTTAAAAGCGACCAATTTTGAATGATACCCGGGTGGCGGTCGACGCCTACTCTTTTCGAGCTTGGAGACCAAGGGATTTAACGTGCGCAGCTTGCACATGGGACCTCCGGGATTTTCGCCCTTATCCGAGACCGCTAGGTGTTAGATCTTACTTACCCTAAGATCAGGGGTGTTGCTGAAAGACAGCAGTAAGAATGAGCTAAGGAGTAGCATCAGAAGGCTACAGAAAGAGCCAGGAGCCCTGAGGAGAGGGATGAGAGGGAGGGGGCAGAAAGTGGAGACGAAAGCAGACGACATAATATGATTAGAGGGCAGGAAAGGAGGATAGGAGAACACTTTAGAGAAGAAAGTTTTCCTTCTCTGCCAGAGTTCGAACCGGGAACCTATTTAAACAGAGGTGAACACCTTACCTCTAGACCAAGAGAGCCCTAACGCGTTGTTTTGGAGGACTTAGAAAAAAAATATTCATAAAGAAAAATATTTTTAATTCTGTGTTCCTTTCTTGAAAAGTTAAAAGACAGGCAATTACATGCATAATATGAAATATACAAATTCGTGTTTCTGATTCGTGCATGTATGGTGGTTCGAATTGTGCGGCAACATTGCCTTTAGTCTGCTGCTGATCGGACATTCTGAAGATCAAAACTCACTACCTTCGTCTTAGTTGCGTGTTCTTGCACAGCAGGTAGACTCGTCGTTGACTGATGTTTCAGGTGAGACACGCGAATGGAATCTGCAAATTATTAGTACCAAACACCAAGGAGTATTGGGGAGGTCATCGGAAATATTCCTTCGACAGGACAATTTTTGGTAGAAATGTCTTTATTTGCAAAGGTGGTAGACGGAATAATATGATAGACAGTAGAGACGGAGGAAACCAAAACCTGCAGGACCACCGGATTTTCTTCATTTTGGCCAGGTTTTCGGTTTAAAGAGGCTGTTCGGATAAAAGGGGAAAAAAAATCAGGAATTTTATTTTATTTTCCTTTTTTTCAGTTTACTGTTTTTGGATTACACATGTTCAGTTTAAGCTGACTGTTTTGTAACAGGTGAGTATCTATTGAGTATCTGTTGGGACAAAATCTCCTCCCCCCCCCCTTTCGTGTTAAAATAAGTTTAAAACATCGTTCATACATAACGTTACGGCAATCTGTGTGAGGGTCAGCAGAGAGTGGAAACCCAGGACGAGCAAGTAGGTCTATAGAAAGTAGAATGGAATGATCAAGTAGAGCTGTAGCCTACTCATCCTCCATGACGGAAGTTAGAACTGAATGCTTAAGATAGTTCCGCCATTTCTGAACCATGATTTTAAATGGTTTTCATTCATTTAAGTTGTAAGTATTTTCATAACATTTATTTTGATGGTGGAGTATCTGCAACAACAAAAAAGTGAACTTGAAAATTGTGTTTAAAAAATGACAAAAAATCGATGCACGGAGTTTCTGTCCACATTTTCACCAGCCCTGCACTTCAAGTGAAATTAACTGAAGTCAAAGAACATTCAGCGGAGATAACTCAAGAACAATCAGCAGCACCAAAGGCCAGAGAACATTTACAACGACAGTACTCAAAAACATCGAGAGATGTCAACAACACCCCAACAACAACTGTTGCTCAGTTTGTGTCACGTGATTTCGTCATGACGGCCAACGGTGTGGCGTCCACTTGGCCGCTGCTGTTGTTGCTGTTGTTGTCGCTGTCGCTGCTGCTGTTCCCATTTTTCTATGTCGTTGGTAAGTGGTGGTTGTGTCTTTT